CAATTACTCACTACCTACACACACATTGATGCCGTCACGTTGTGACCATTTATATATACCAGACTACCCTATATAAATGGTCACAACGTGACGGCATCAATGTGTGTGTAGGTAGTGAGTAATTGAACTGCAGTCAGAAAGTATTGTTGAAGTTCGTTGTTATAGCGTTTGTTAGAGAGCGACTGTTGAAAATAAGTGTATCGGTAAAGTTATATTCGGAAAGAATAAACCAGTTTTATTAAGAAAGGACTTGTGTAGCTAAGGTTTCGTGGGAACGAATTTACGGAAAATTAACGAACGAACGGAGACGTAACAATACCTACGCTAACTCGTAATCAACTCGCTCATTGTGAACCCTCGATAAGATATGGAAGAAGTTCCAGAATAAAAGGAAAACTTTATATTGCTTGTAAGTTTGTGAAACTTTTGTTTATAAATCATTGTTTGTAATAACTGTTATTGTAAATTGTATTGTTTTGTGTATATTAAAACATATTTGTGTTAAAAAAGAAAACTGTGTGTATCAATCTTGTTGGCAAATATCATAAACTAACTATATATCGGCTTTTACTTAACTGTTCAATCCAAAGTACAATTTAACTACTAAATTTAAATTATTAGTTAACTCGGTTTCGGACTATTTGAAATTCTAATACGTAACAGTAGTACCAATGGTTTTATGGTCGTCATGTATTTTTGCTTATTGGTGTTAAAAGTCAGAGTCATAAGCTCTAAAATTAACAGTATTTTTCATATTTTCGGACTGGCATGGCCTGGTGGTTAGGGCACTTAATTCGCAATCTACAGGTTGCGGGTTCGAATCGCGTCACCGAACATGCTCGCCCTTTTAGCTGTAGGAACGTCATAATGTGGGAGTCAACAATCAATCCCATTATTCGTTGATGAAAAGTAGCCGAAGAGTTGACAGTGGGTGATGTTGATTAGCTGTCTTCCCTCTATCACTTCGCTTTTTAGTGGCCCAGCGGTAAATCTGAAGCTTTATAAAGCTAAATAACCGGTTTTCAACCCATATTGAGCACAGCACAATAGCCCATTTTAAATTTAGAGCCGGCTAGTGCATATAGCCCTCAAGTAACTTTTCGCGAAATTCAATAAACAAACAAAAACATGCAGGAAAATCAAAATAAAGAAATTTGTTTAAAACCAGATATAAATATTCAGTGCTATTGAATAATAATATAAGAACCCGTAACTTGTATTACATTTCAAGAATTCGGAGAAACAAATCTAAATATCATGCATATGTGTCGTGAGTAAATATTGTACACGTGTAATAGCGTATTCCACGCCCATATTGGTTACATAATTTCACAAATTTGCCATCTAGCGGTCATATATTAATAAGTAGCATCGTGTTGCAGTTTAGCGTTCAGTTATTCGAATTACTGGTGTTCTTGTTATGTATTGTACGTTTCTGTTTATATATTTACTCATTGAACTTTATGCATTTTGTTAGAACTAATAGAAGCTTTCGTTATTTTTGAAACAACGTTAAAAATTTACTTGTGTAAATCTAATGAACTGCTTATAGTTGTAAGTTTAACGTTTATTTATTACCGAGAAGTGAAGTCAGAAAAGCTTGAGCTTTTATTTTTAATTTTTACACAATCTTGTGTTTTATCGACGAATATCGTATTTCGCTAAGAGCTTATTTGAAGTACAATTAACATATTGTTATAATATATTGAGCTGTGGCTGTAGAGTGAGCGCAGTTGAAATTGTTTTTTAACATGGCCTACCACAATGTTCAACATGAATATATGCAGATACCTCCTGTAACTCGTGCCTATACGACTGCATGTGTTTTGACAACATTAGCGGTGGTAAGTTTTCCTTATTTTCTGTCTGTTTTTACTTTTAGTTTTATAATTAGATTGCAATATTCCTTACGTCACAGTCCAGCAAAACGCTTGAAACTAAGTTACTATTCCTCAGTTTTACTGAAAGTGAAACTTAAACACAAATTCATGCCAGACTGTATAGTAGTGTATTGACACATTTTTTCACGAAGACTGCAAATTATGAGTATAAATATAATAAAAATATAAAATTTATTAGCATAGTACACTTCAGATGAAATGGAACTTAAAACTTGTAACAATTGTGGCAGAAGAAAAATTTAATAAAGTGATATCTCGGTTCAGTAAAAAATGGTAAAAATTGTATTTTTAAAGGTATAATAAAATGCAAAATACTTAGTATTATGAAACATAAAATTTGTAATATTATGATAAAATGTCATACATTAAGAATTGAGATAGGAGCAGTTCAGCTGTAACTTGTAAGAAGATCTGTGCTTCTTTGTTTTACAATAAAATAACATTTACAGCATACTTTGCAGTAATGACTTTTTCTTACTGCAAAAAAGTTAACTCTTTAAGTGTTGCTGCATATATTGTTCTCAATAGATTTGTGTATATTTAATATTTTTTTTCTTATTTTTATTTTAAAGAGTTGTATGAACAGCTTTTCTACATGATTGGGTAGTAGGGTCATTCTCAGAACCAGTTTAAATCTAGTGATAGTAAAATTAAACCAAGTACTAACATCACATTTTTTTTTCATAATAACCTGGTGGACCACACAAACACCAAAAGTAGAGAAATTAAGTTCATTACCATAATTATATTCTTATTTATAACAAAACTGTTGTGGTTAAGTGACCAAAATATTCACAAAATCTTTCAAGTTCAGTATTTGGCCTACTCAAACTCTTTGCAACCTTTTAACTCACTTTTAAGCACTCAAATAAATTAGAAGCGACAGAAAAATATATGAAATGCATTGCAGCTGTGGTGACAGATCATAGAATAATTTGGCAATAAGGACAACTATAAAAATAATGAAATAAATATTTCTTTAGGAAACCAAAACTTCAATCATTAAAGCTCATGCAGAACATGTAGTAGATTAGAAAATGACATTGATTGAAAAAACACTGACCTCAGAACTAATAAAAAAAAAAAAAAAAAAAAAAACCTCTAGAAGTTGACAAAAACAGTTTTCAAATGGGACCAAGAAATTGAAATAAAGAATTAGTGGATTCAATTTATCCAGAAATAAACTACGGGTAAAACAAGCTTTTTTTTTTTTAGGTCGTGGGATCTCATCTGGTTAAAGTAAATCAAGAGCAGAAGCACACCATTGTGGTTAAATCCAACCACTCCTAAATTGAGTTTATCTAATAAAAGTGATGAGAAATATCACTGAACTTCCCTTGTAAAGTTATCTATCTTGTTACTCTTCTGGGAAGAAGATAATAAAATTGAATGAATACGAGGCTTTCAGATTTTTCTTATGTTGAATTTTGTTTGGTGTAGTTTTCAGGCTAATGTTTTGTTTCAATTATTCACAAGATTTTGATTTTTTAACTTCATATGCTATTTAAAACAAAATAAATGTTTTTTTGTTGTTTTTTTTATTTAGAGTTTTAGATGTAATAGGTTAAGTTCATTTCTCAAATATAACAATGCATTAACTAATTACAATTTTCCATTTCCCAAGCCAGTCAAGAGCCACAAGCAAGAGAGAACTAGTTCAGAAAAGCCCTGGTATTTTCATGTGCACTTGTTATTATGTGTATTAAAGTTATGAAAAGTATCTCAGATTTTAAAATGAATTAGTATGTTACAACACGGATGAACTCTTTTGAAACTACTGACATACTGATATTGTATGCACCATGTTAAATCACTGAAATTATATACTTTGTTTGAATTTATTTTTCAGCAGTTGGACATTGTTTCTCCTTTTCAGCTCTATTTTAATCCAGATTTAATAATAAAACATTACCAGGTGAGTCAATTTTTTTGAATGTTAAGACAATTTTGTATATTTATTTTAGAAAAATAAGTTTTAACTGTATATCCATGGTAAAATAGAAGGCTAATATAATGATGCAATATGACATGTATTATTAAGGCCTAATAGAGGATGATTTTGAGGTCTGTTATTGACCAATATAATAATCTACGTGAATGTTTAAAATGCCCTCGCATAACTTTAGTAAAGTTTGAAAACTTAAATGTCAAATTTTCTTTAAAAATAGACCTATCAAATTTGTAATTTCTTGTAATAAATTGAAATTCTCAGGTAACTCTAATTTATATAAGTTTGGCAGTTAAAGGATATATTACAGTACTTTCATGAGGTTTCTTGAGTTGGCCGTCTAGAAGTAGATATGAATCGGGCTCTAATAATATTGAAATATATATGTATAAGTAGGTGACTTCATCTCTTTCTCTTTATTCATATTTCTTTATTTCAAATAGTCTGTGTGTGATCATTATTATTTTTACTGTATTATTTAGTTTAAAGAATCAGTTCTTTAAGATACTTAACAAAGTTAATCATTAGTTGGTGTAATGTAACATTAATCACGTCTTCCTCTACTAGACCAGTATGGGTTTTCAGGAAGAAGTGTTTGTAATAGCACTTCATCTCGACATTTGATGTTGTATGCCCTGATCAGGAGTCCTTTTGCTCAGTACTGGGGCTCAGCAGGTTGACTGGCTTACATCACACAGTCTCAGAAAATGCTGTTTATACCAGTCATTTATAAGATACCAAGTTTTGGGGTATGATGAAAGAGCTTACCACAAAGGATCGATAAAAAAATTGAAGTAGATTTCAAAAGTCTTGAGCACTTTTCAATAGTTCACTATCCTTCAGGAAGAAAAAGGGTGTTTTAATGCTTCAGCTGCAAAACTATGATTTCTTTGTTAACAGTTAATTATCAATCTTGTTATCAATTACCAATGAATATATTATTCCTTGCCAGCTTAGGCATTAAACACCATAAGACTTTAATGTATTATTCTACAATTATGTTTGATTAAAACTATAAAAAGTTCATAGGAAAGTTTGAAATATAACTTTCCCTTAGCTGTTAATACCCGTGCTCATTTTGTTTTCCAGATCTGGCGACTAGTTACCACATTTCTATTTTTTGGAACGTTGGGATTCAATTTCCTGTTCAACATGATATTTACATACCGTTACTGCCGAATGTTGGAAGAGGGCTCTTTCCGGGGCCGAACAGCAGATTTTTTTTTCATGTTTTTATTTGGAGGAATTGTCATGATTGTATCCTTGCAGTACTGTTCTTAAAATGTTTGCTCTCACTGAATAGTAAATTATCTCAAGAATAACTTTGGAATACTTAAAATTATATAAAAAAAACAACAAAAAACAACCAACCATACATACATAATTGTAGTGAGCTGGAATAAATACATATACAAGTTTATAAAAGTAAAAATAAATCAATCTTTATAGATAATATAAATTGTTCTATTCTAAGTTATTAAACTTTGACTTGAAGATCAGATAATAGCTCTGTTTATTAATCTCCTTTTCCTTGGTCAAGCCTTTACAATCATGTTGGTTTACATTTGGAGTCGTCGAAACCCGTACATTCGAATGAATTTCTTTGGATTGATGAACTTTCAGGCACCATTTTTACCATGGGTCCTATTAGGATTCTCAGTTTTACTTGGAAATTCGGTGATGGTGGATTTAATGGGTTAGTTTTGTGCTGCCCTTTTTATTTTTTACTACTATACTGGCTTCCCATAAATGTCCTTCTTTCCAGAATAGTTGAAATTCAAGTTCTAACTTGATGGTTATATTTCTAGTTACCAAAAGAAAGTAAACACGTATAATTTACACCCTTCATAGGGTCCTGTATTCAATTTTTAATTTCTGGTTCACTTCAGCTTCTGTGTAATATAATAAATTCTATTTCGTGTTATTTAAGCAATCTGCATGACACTTCTGTCAAAGAAATTAAGAGCAAATGCCGTATACCTGTTGTTAGATTGATAAATTTCTGGTTTTACATAATGGTGTGCCATATGCTTTACTTTAAATTCACTTACAGTTTTATTGAAGTAAATGGTCATTTCATTTATGTAGTGTAGAAGTAATTTTAATGGGCAAAATACTGTTACCACATTTGTTTTGTATAATGTCTTGTAAATGGTATTGTGTAATCAAAAATCTTTGTTTCTAAACTAAATGTAGTATTCTGTATGTTGTTGCTGTAATACAAGAATGAAATATATGTGGGAACTTTTTTTTTTTCTCCTTCCAAAATTAGGGAAGAAAGAGTTGCTCAGTTGTTAAAGTCATGCTTATGAGCAGTTTTTGGAATGAAACTGTATGTTCCTCGAGTTTTCTTCCATAGTTCCCTGTGTATTTATTTTAATAGACTATAATGGAGAGTAAATACTAAAATTGTAACATATAAAATAGGAGTATTATCATAAAACAAAAAAAACACAAAAAAACTACTGAAAACTTCACATGAAACTAAACAGCTGTGTTTCCATTTTTGAGCTTTTATTTCAATTTGGGTAAAATGTAATTAGTGGTGAAAATGTAAGATATTTATAAAGAAATGAAAGTAATAATGCAATGTCAGAGTTTTTGTCTCAGTCAGAGCAAAATAAGTTCAATGACACTAGAATATTCATAATTATAAGAAAAACAGTTAAATGGATTTAGAGATGAGTAGGGGGCATGACAGAAGTCACTGAAAAGAAGTAATGCATAGTAGTAAACATAGAAGAAATGTTAAATCAGTTAACTATAGAAAATATGAAGTATGTTGTGTATTTTTTAAATTATATGTGCCTTTTTCGATAGTTTGATGAGGAAAAAAAATATCAGTTATATAAATGTTTGCTCCTTACAAGAACTAATGGCTTGACTCTTTCTGTGTATAGGAATAGCAGTTGGACATCTTTATTATTTCCTTGAAGATGTTTTTCCAAACCAGGCTGGTGGCTTTCAGATACTAAAAACTCCATGTTTAATGTAAGTTTACACGAAGTAGATTGTCTTTTCATGAGCTAGGCCTAACCTTGTGGGTAATGTGCCACGCTGCAGACCAAAAAGTCCAAGGTTTAACTTGCAACATGCCACTAAATATAAATAAGCAGTTAATCCCATTATTTGGTTAAGAGTGGCTTCATAGGTGGCATGTACTGCTAATTGATTGCTTTCCCTCTGTTCAGTACGTTCTAGGTGAAAGAGTGCTGTACCTAAACCTTGGAGGTTTCTGACTTATCACGTATGTTGTGTAAGGCACCATTCATGTTGGAAATACTATTGTATTGTCACATGATTCTTAAAGGTGCTTAATAAAATTATTGATATTTAAAAAATAAATAAAAAAATATCATTTGGATAAAGGCACATTTACTACAGATGGACATCATCATCACAAAAAAAAAACAACAAATAACAACAATCCTCCTTAGTTACTTGTAACTGATTCATCAAGTGGGAAGGGCTATAATAAATATTAGAAACATGGTAATACCATCTGTAAAGTTGCTTATATTGGTAAAACTACATTTCACTAGAAATACACCTATTGGAGTACATGGGCATTTCAGCTAGAAGCAGATGTAAGATAAGAAATACACCTGAGTCTTGTATCCAATTGCATAGCAATTTTAAACTTTAAAATTCCAGACTCTGGAGCAACAGATTATGAACTTTTATTAAAGAAAACCTTTCCATTTTCAATGCTCACCCAGCAATAAAGAATAACATCAGCTCATCCCTATTGTGATTAAACTAATTAATTCAGGATTTCTGGTGTACTTATTTATTTATTTTTGTTTTTCAAAAATACAGGTGTTTATACTTATTTATGCCATTCCTTATAGTATTTTCTCTTAACAGAATTATTAAATAACTTTGTATGTTTTATCATACATTCTATTATATTGTTGCTATTTTAGTTCTTTTTTCTAAACCTTTCCTTGTGTCAGAAACCTCTCAATTAATAGTTAAGGTTGTTTTTTGTAGTTAGGGTATTGTGAATTGACTTTTTGAGGTTTTAATGCTGATGATGGAATTAGAAATAATTACAAAAAATCAAGGTTCTAGTTAACCCAAACTCCCGGGTCCCGTATGTGTGAGAATGGGTTGGGATGCATAAGATTTGACCCTCTTGGGTACCGAATACACACTGCAAAATGCCTCTTGTGCAAGATAAGCACAAGTACTTTGCTTCAAATTTTGTACCATAACAAACTAAACAGCATACAGTTTGCACACAACTGTCCACAATCAACTTCTAACAGGCTTAATCAATGACAATAAACTGCATGAAAATGAACCCACATGAAAGTACCACAAGATTAACCCCAGAATGTAGATAATAAATCAAAATTTAGTACAATTTAAGTTTTAAGTTCTTAATTTTATAAGGAAATATTTTAAAAAAATTCTCAATCTCCCTAGCATGAGAATTGTGATGTTTATTACCTATGTCTTCCCTCTAATTCTTTTTACCAACATCCCAAGAACTATGAAATATAATGTAACTTACTCATTATAGTTTTCATCATTCAGGCAAAGCATAAATTAAATAGCCTTCAATCTTATTTAGTTACAGAGCAATAAAATATAAAATCAGACCCCTCTTTCCACGCCCACCTGTCACATCCTCTCTTTACGAACTGGCAAATTATTCTCCCTCACATTTAGGACTATATTATTTATAACCAATAGAAAGCCAGGGTTTTACTCTATTGGCTAACATATTGTATTATGTTGTCTGTACAGAGAATTGTCTATTTTCCTTCCAATTCAAACTTTATTCCTATGGGAACACATTGACGAGCTTAGCTAAATTTTTAACGGCTTTTGTCATACAATTAGAAAGCCAGAAAAATTGTTATAGTTATGGAACATTTTCCTTTTTGCATGCTACTATTCTGTGTTTTTTGGTGCATTATTTAATTAAATAGAAATTATTTAATGCAGTAGTACAATTAGTATGAAAAAAAAAAAAGTAGGGTTTAAATTTCATTGACAGTTGAGAGCAAAAAAAGAGACCCCGGGTAAGTACTTTATATTTTGTTTTGCAATTTATGTGGTGCAAATAGTAGTTAGACATGGTTCAAACATTAATAAAATTTAATTGTAAATAGATGTATGCTGTTACAAGCTTTAACCCTGTCAAGACGGGTCACAGGTGAAAGGCCATGTCATTTTGTTTGTTGACTCGCATTCAAAATTTTATTGAACTACTATTTCATGAATTTATGTCAGTAATTTTGGTATCAAACTGTAGATTATAATTCAGATTTTAGTATTATATATTATTAAATTTCTTAATATAAAAGCAAATATTAAAAATGCAGATAAACAAACCTTTTTGTGTGTCACGTGGTATGTTTAATTCAGCACTGGTTTATAATTAGATGTTTGTGAAGTCAAAATACTAAATCTATAGTTTCATATGAATTAGAAACTCAAATTACCGATATTGACAAGCTAGAATATAAAATAATAGCCTCTTATCTTTTCAGTTTGGCATGAGAGAAACATTGCTGTACAAACCTTAAGACTTAACAAAGAAATTAGATATTTTGCATATGAAAGCATTGTAATGTTTACTGATAAACTGCCAAATTTCGTTAATATTTGCTCACTAATTTAAATGTTATAGCATGATGATTATAACAAGCAGAAAAAGGTTATGAGGTCGATTAATTTTTGTAAACTTTTTTTATATGGTAATTTCAAGGTTGGTTAAATCAACCAACCACACATAGTTAAAGTACAGAAAATAACAGATAAAATATAAAGTTTTTCTGAAAAATATCATTTGGTATTTATTTAGGAAGTTAGGGTTATGCAAATCATATTTGAAAATTTTCAGATGAAGAAAATTATTTTTAATCCTATCATGAAAATTACTTTGCACTTGTAAAGGGAAACAGTGTAAATTGTAAAGTTTTCATTTAACATAATTATACACTTTTCCACTTGCAACAGGTCAACATGTAGGGTACCTTGTAAATAAAGTTTTTCATTTTTGAGTTTATTAAATTCTACCTATGAGACCTTTGAAAATATCACTGGAACTTTTGAAAAAAGTTGGGAGTCTGAGACCTTAGTGAGAACCCTGAAAAATTACAGATTTTTTGGCATTACCATGTTTCTAATATTAATTATAAAACTTCCCTAGTTATTATTTGAAAAGTAATTAAATGTACTACATAACTTGAGTTTGATTGGTTTGATGTTTAGTATACTTGTTCTTTGTTTTTTTTATTAGTTTCTTACACAAAAAGAATAGCTTGTAGCCTTTTGTAACAAAGTTCTTAAGATTTAAAATCTTGGTATAATTGCAGACTTGTCATAGCATCATTCTACACACAAAATCTAATTTAAAAACACTGTTATTGAACTTGGGAAAAATGAAATACATTTTCATTGGACCATTTTAAGTAGGTGTTTGTTGTTTCAACAACACAATATGTAATTATTTGTGTTACACTGACACGTAAAAGCATTATTTGTCAACGAAACATTTAAAACACCAGAAACAAAATGGAATTAAGAGCAAGCATATTTCTAAAGTTCTAATTTATCTTATATTTAATTAACTAGTTTTTATTCATTTATTATTCTTCAGAAAATATCTTTTTGATTCTGCACCGGACGACCCAAATTATAATCCTCTTCCTGAAGACCGACCAGGTGGATTTGCCTGGGGTGCTGATGTTCCACCCCAGTGAAACGAGTATTCTGCAGTGTAAATATATACACGTACAATGTGTTTTTATCCTCTTTGCTCTTAATATTACCTTCTAGATGTAAAAACAGTAACTTAACAGTGGTTAAGAGAAGTGGAATTTTTTTGAAAGCATGAACTATTTACAACATAGAAATATTTTTCATTCACTGTTTTGTTGTGAAATGGTATACCATTAATATAATCAAAACTTATTTACAAAGGCATTGTTTAATTTGTTTTTCAAATGTAATGGTAATTATGTTCTTAATGTTAATAATTATTTTAAGTTGCTCTTCCGTATTATGTCTTGGACCAGGAAAAGCATAACAAAAACTTGTTAAGGAAACTAATAATGTTAATGTTTCTTTTTGCACTATTGTTTGTACAAATTGATACACAGAAGTAATAAAGCAAGTTTGATTTTGTTATTGTTTCTAAGAGCAATTATTGAAACTTTAGTATCAAATATAACCCTATCTGAAGCTCTTGTTTTTTGGATGAAAATGTATAAAACATTTGTATTATGAATGAAGTTATATATAATAACATGCAATGTAAATAAAAAAAATCAAAAAAATCTGGTGGAAATATTTGAGCAATTGCTTTTTTTTTTTCTTCTTTATTTGCTGAGTTTAAGCAATTGTTTACCAAGGGCATCTGGTAAAGTAATACTAATCAGGCCATTCATCTAGGGCAGTGTTGATGTGGCTTAACTCTTACTTGCTTGCTAATGTGTATGTCATTAACTGGGAAAGGAGGAACATTCAACCAGCAGGTTAGAAAACCATCTTTATAATTATAATTTACTTTGTTTAATATATTTATTATTCATCTGGTAGGAGAATTGTAAGAAGCTGCAAATTGTCATTATACTTCAATTCCTCTATCCAATTTTGTAGTTGCATATGTTCTTTGTGATTGACCGCATAAATATTTGTTATAAAATTTTAATACTTTGGTTCTGTATTAACCCTGAATTTTATACCACATGGGGTATACTTACTGCATAATATTGAGTAACTTGTTTGTTTTTTTTCCACTTGTAACACTCAGTTCCAAGAATTGACCAAAACAAGTTGGATGAAATCACTCATTTTGTATGTAAAATACATACAAAATTGCAGTATTGATAGTATTTTTGTGTGTGCGACTCATCTTAAAAAGGACCCTGTAAAGAATAAAGCAACAAACCCATAAGCAATTTGATTCATAAATAGTTTAGAAAAAATATGTTTAAAATAAATAAATTGGGGGGGGGGTATTAATATGCTCCTTAGAGGTATGGTTTCTGATTGGTTTAGATAAACACAAATGGTACAGATAGGACAGAGGTTTCAAAACCATGTATTGTTTGTAAAATACCTGATCTGCTTGAAGCCTAATGTTAATATAATAAAGTTAAACCATACTTTGTTATTAAGCATGTTCCTAGACATCATATTGCCAATAGCAGGCCAACAAGCTAACTGTCACTTGAACAGTAGAAGCTGATTGAGCTGCATATAAAATGGACTTCCTCTCCATTGGTAGGTTTCTGATATTCATATTAAAATATCAAGAATAGTATGGTTTATCATGTGTGGAAAAAATATGGATAGTAAGAAATGTGTGTACGTGTGTGTGTGTGTGTGTGTG